GTAGAGAATACGAGAAAAATAAAAAAGAAGAAAGAAGGGGAAATCATATGAGAGAGAGAGAGAGAGAGAGAGAGAGAGAGAGAGAGAGAGAGAGAGAGAGAGAGAGAGAGAGAGAGAGACTACCATAAGTAACACCAAAGAGTAATACAACACTACATTATTTGACCAGTAACCCCCCAAAAAAAAAAAATAAATAAATAAAACCCAGATAAAATTAATAACACCTAATTATTAACAAATCCCCTAAAACTACCCTATATAATTTGTGTATATATAACAGGTATTAATTAGACTGATAAAAAAACTGGTGGAATTTTTGTTTTAAAGGCAGGAAGTACAGTAGATGAGTTATGTTATCAATCATCAATAAAATTAGCTGTAACGTTATTAATAAATTGATAGCGGCGGCCAGTTAATGTGTGAGCGTTTATTAGTGTGTGAAAGTAGATTAGGGATATGAAGGTTTAATACCCTGTGCGAGAGAGAGAGAGAGAGAGAGAGATGTTTATATAATGTGGTCTCTCTCTCTCTCTCCTTCTTCAATCAGAGTGAGTGACCAGTAATAACCTACTCGCTCAGACTTCGACAAATTCTGTGATGGCGTTCATATTACCTTATAGTCCAACTGGGCAGGTCGAGGGAATACTGACAGCCAGACAGACAGACAGACAGACAGACAGACAGACGGATAACACACACACACACACACACACACACACACACACACACACACACACACACACACACACACACACACACACACACACACCCGTTGTTTAAAGATATTGGACAGAGAATGGGTCGTCCAAATGCATGGGGATCTAGTCGTAGCGGCACCAAACACAGGGGTGGGTCGTACCAGACAATAGAACGACCTGAAGCGGCGGGGCAAAAACGACCACAGCACCACGGGGTAGATCCTGGGGCACAATCCTGGGTCAAATCAGGGCATAGTTGACCTCGCTGATGGAAGCAATGAGAGGGTGGTGCTCTGAGGTCACCAGGTCAAACGTGAGAGGGAGGTTGTAGAGGGTCACAGTAGGTCACCAGGATAGGTAGGGAGAGGTCACAGTAGGTCACCAGGATAGGTAGGGAGAGGTCAAGGAGCGGTAAGGTGGAGGTCAGCAAGTCAGGAGGAAGTCAATGGTTCAGTGAAGGGTCAGGGGATAGGAGGAATTCAAGGGGTCAGGGAGGGGTAGGAGGGAGGTCAGAGCCGGTCATCAAGACACAGCTGCCCCGGACAGGAAATGGACCTTCCCCGTCAAGAGTCAAAGTTGGAAAAGTTAAATGGAAGGTTTACGATGTCGCTTTGTCGTCTGAGCCACATCATGCAACGCCCCGGAGAGCCACACTGACATCTGGCTCGAAAACGATATTAGGGAGGTGGGTGGGTGGGTGGGTGTGTCTTATCCTGGGTGTAGAGAACTCACTTAGGAAAACATTAAGCTAGTACCCATCCTCCCCCTCCCCACACCATGAGTGAGGGGAGGAGCGTCACTGAATACCCTGTTATGACAGTTCAACATGACGCCTCTCTAAGTCATGGGTCGCCCCCACACACACACACACACACACACACACACACACACCACCTGTTTAACCTTCCTCTTCCCTCCTTCTACCTCCATTTCCCTTCTTCCTTCAACTTTTCCTCTACCTCCCACTTCCTCTTCTACTCACCTCCTTTCCCTCTTCTACTCTCTCCTATTCCTCCCTGTTTTCCCACTTCCTCTCCCTCTTTCCCTCCCTCTTCTACTCTCCTTCCTCTACTGTCCCTCTTTCTCCCTCTTTTCCTTCTACTCCCTCCTCTCCCTGCATAAGCAATAACCTCCCTCCCATTTATTGACATGAGGTCAGTAGGAATGGTCGATGACTCGGATAAAATACCTGGGTGAGAAAAATGACGCTGTTCTATTTGCATACAGGCGTTGTAGCCTTAGTCTGACCCTCCCTCTCACCTCCTCCCTCTCACCCACCCTCCCTCTCACCCACCTCCCTCTCACCCACCCTCCCTCTCCTCACCCTCCCTCTCACCCACCCTCCCTCTCACCCACCCTCCTCTCACCCACCCTCCCTCACCCACCCTCCCTCTCACCCACCCTCCCTCTCACCCACCCTCCCCTCTCACCCACCCCTCTCAGTTGGCCCTCTCCTCTCACCAGCCCTCTTCACCACCCCCCTATATCTTCCCTTTCACCGCCTTTCTCCCTCCAATATATTCCTCTCAGCGCCTCTACTCTCTGTATCTTCCCTCTCATCACCATTCTCTACTCCCCTTCCTCCTCCGCCCCCCTCTCTCTCTCTCTCTCTCTCTATACCCTTCAAAGATCCTCCTCCTCCTCCCTTTCTCAACCCTTCTGTGTCCCTCTCATCTCTCTCCTCTCCTTATCGTGTCTCCTTGTCTCCCTCATCCTAACACTGTTTACATTTCCTCTCACAACCCTCTCATCCCCTCTTCAACTCTTCCCTCTCATCTACTCCTTCCCCTTCCCTTCTAACCCCTTTGCTCCTTCCTCTTTCCATTCTCCCTCCATTCCCTCTCTCCCTCTAGCCACTTCCTTCCCTTCCAACCTCTTCCTTTCATTCTACTCCACTCCTCCCTCCCAACCTCCCACTCACCCTCTCACCCAACTCCTCCCACTCCCCCTCCCTCTCACCCAACCTCCCACTCCCCACTCCCTTCACCCAACTCCCCACTCCTCCCTCTCACCCAACTCCTCCCTCCCCTCCCTCTCCCCTCACCCAGGTAAGATTGTGTAGTCTTGCCATCATTGTTCATCTGTTAAGAAAGTCGTAGCCGGAAAGATACACGAGAGAAGGAGAAGGAAGGAAGGAAGGAAGGAAGGAAGGAAGGAAGGAGGTGAAATAACCTGGGTGTCTAATCTCCATGTGAAATAAACTGATTCGTTTCCTGTAACAACTAAATTACCGGGAAAACCACCTCGATTCCCTCTTCCTCCTCTTCCTCCTCCCTTCCTCTTCTCTCTCTCTTCCTCTTCCCATTCTTCTTCCACCTATTCTCGCTCCTACCCCCTCTCCTCCTCTCTCCTCCTCCCCTCCTCCTCCTCCCTCAACCATAACCAAAGTTGAGGTGAAAAACCTTCGCTATAAACATGTTGGGTTGTGTTGTTCTCATCTCTATATCCTGATTCCTATGGCACATCCTTACACAGCCTTATCTTTGCCGTGCACATCCCAAGACAGCCTTATCTTTGCCGTGCACATCCCAAGATAGCCTTATCTTTGCCGTATCCCAAGACAGCCTTATCTTTGCCGTGCACATCCCAAGACAGCCTTATCTTTGCTGCACATCCAAGATAGCCTTATTTTTGCCGTGCACATCCCAAGACAGCCTTATCTTTGCTGCAGCATCCCAAGACAGCCTTATCTTGCCGTGCACATCCCAAGACAGCCTTATCTTTGCCGCACATCCCAAGACAGCCTTATCTTTGCCGTGCACATCCCAAGACAGCCTTATCTTTGCCGTGCACATCCCAAGACAGCCTTATCTTTGCCGTGCACATCCCAAGACAGCCTTATCTTTGCCGTGCACATCCCAAGACAGCCTTATCTTTGCCGTGCACATCCCAAGACAGCCTTATCTTGCTGTGCACATCCCAAGACAGCCTTATCTTTGCCGTGCACATCCCAAGACAGCCTTATCTTTGCCGGCATATCCCAAGATAGCCTTTATCTTTGCCGTGCACATCCCAAGACAGCCTTATCTTTGCTGTGCACATCCTGATTTAGAAGTCCTGTGTATGAGAGAGAGAGAGAGAGAGAGAGAGAGAGAGAGAGAGAGAGAGACGCCTTGTAAACTGTCATACATAGTTTTGAAGCCTCGTCCCCGGGTGAGGGCAAATCTGGCTTGTGGGAATGGAGAGAAAGGAGAGGGGGGGGAGAGAAGGAAGGAGAGGAGGGAGAGGAAGAGAAGGAGGAGAGGAAGAGAAGGAGGAGGGGACTGAAGGAGGGAGAGAAGGGAGAAAGGGAGGGAAGGGGGAGAGGAGGGTGGACGGAGAGAAAGGAGATGGGGGGAAGGAGGGAGAAAGAAAGGGCGAAGAGATAGGAGGAACAAGATGGACGAAGGAGGAAGAGAGTAAGTAGATGAGGAAGAGCAGGGCAAGAGGAGGAAAAGCAGAAGAAGAAGGAAGAAAGAATGAGCAGGAAGGAGGAAGAATGAAGGAAGGAGGAACGGAAGATGGAAGGACACAGTAAGAGAGGAAGGAAGAAGGAAGTACAAAATAAGGAAGGAAAGAAGGAAGAAGGAAAGGAAGATGGATGCACAAAGGAAGGAAGGAAGAAGGAAGGAAGGAAGGAAGGAAGGAAGGAAGGAAGGAAGGAAGGAAGGAAGGAGGAAGGAGGAAGGAGGAGGAGGAGGAACGAAAAACATGCTGCCCGCTATAATCTTATTTGCACCTCTCGTGAAAAATGGGGATGCCATCTCCGGCCAGGATCACTGTGGGAGACGTTAAGGGTGCCAGGGAGGGGGGTGCCAGGAGGGGGGTAGGGGGTGTCCGGTGGTGCTAGTGGGGGGGGGTCTCGAGCGTGTGGGAAGGATAGAGAGGGAGATACAGAGACAGGTAGAGATGTAGAGACAGGTAAGTAGATATGAAAGTAGAGACAAAAATAGGAGAAGTTAGGTCTAGGTTAGGTTAGGTTATAGGTAGATCCCGGTCAGACAAACGCACAGGTAGATGGAACGGTGGATAGACACATCCTTCCCCTCACGACACATCCTTCCCTCACGACACATCCTTCCCCTCACGACACATCCTTCCCCTCACGACACATCCTTCCTCACGACACATCCTTCCCCTCACGACCCATCCTTTCCCCTTACACCACATCCTCCCTCACACCACATCCTTCCCTCACCACATCCTTCCCCCACCACACATCCCTCCCCTTCAAGGCCCATCAATTCCGCTCATGTTCTACAGCTTCTCTTCACGACCCATCAACTTCTTCAGGAAATATCGGCGTCTCTTTCAAAACACCAGATGCCTACTGAAGAAGTCCCCGGCCTCCCCAGCACGTCTCCGGCCTCCCAGCACGTCCCGGCCTCCCAGCACGTCTCCGCCCCAGCACGTCTCCGGCCTCCCCTCACCCCAGCCTCCCCAGCACGTCTCCGGCCTCCCAGCACGTCTCCGGCCTCCCCTTCATCCCCAGCACGTCTCCGGCCTCCCAGCACGTCTCCGGCCTCCCCTTCATCCCCAGCCTCCCAGCACGTCTCCGGCCTCCCCAGCACGTTCCTGGCCTCCTTCATCCCAGCCTCCCCAGCACGTCTCCGGCCTCCCCAGCACGTCTCCGGCCTCCCCTTCATCCCCAGCCTCCCCAGCACGTCTCCGGCCTCCCCAGCACGTCTCCGGCCTCCCAGCACGTCTCCGGCCTCCCCAGCACGTCTCCGGCCCCCACCCCCAGCCTCCCTTCCCAGCTCCCACAAGTCCCGTGCCTCCTGGGGTTCAAAATACCCCAACGTCGTCACCATACTAACACCCAAGATCATCCGTCACGTCCCACTTCTCCATCACCTGTGAACCCCCCATGGAGGCGTAAACAAGATAGGTATATTTGTTTTTTCTCAATGCTTATTTCCAGGTCGTTAGTTAAGACTTTTAGGAGGAGAGACAGATTGTGTGTGTGTGTGTGGGAGGAGGAAGGAGGAGAGAGAGAGAGAGAGAGGAGAGAGAGAGAGCCCTAATCTTGCCTCCTACTTGGCTGGGGATTAATTAACAATACTTTTTATTTACAGTAGTTTAAAGGCGATCATTAAGAGGCACCAAGCTGTCTATATATACAGAGTGTAAACATACAATAATATTCCCCCCTATTGATCTTATTAAAGGTGATTTGTTCTCCTCGCCCCTAGGACTTGATATATTCCTGACACCGTCTGAGCTTGGAGAAACTTTCCGTTCCCACCCTCCCTTCCCACCCTCCCTCTCTCCTTTCCTTCCCCTTCTCTTCCCTTCCTTCTTTCCTTCCTCTCTCTCTCCAGGACATCCATTCAGTAATCCACATCTGTATCCAGAATCCCTCCCTCACCCCTCCCCTCTTCTCCTTTCCCATCCCCTTCCTCTTCCTTCCCTTCCTCTCCCTTCTTCTTCCTTCCCTTACACCTCCTCCTTTCATAACAATTCCTTATCTCATGGGGGAAAGGGAGGGGAGAAAATGGGGAGGGCAGAAGAGGGGAGGGAAGGGGAGAGGGGAGGGAGAGGGAGAAGAGGGGATGGGAGGAAAAGGAAGGGAGAGGGGAAGGAGCACATCTCCCCTCCACTGGCCCGTCAACTCCTCGTCAATCTCCACCTTTCAATTACCAGGAAATAACACCCAGCCTTTAAAAAACTACCAGCGTTCATCTCTCTCTCTCTCTCTCTCTCTCTCTCTCTCTCTCTCTCTCTCTAAGAAGGGAGAGAGAGAGAGAGGCCCTACACCGCTTTAAGAGTATTTCCACAATGTCTTCATTCACGCTTAGCCTCCGCCGCCTCCTCCTCCTTCCTCTTCCTTCTCTCCTTCATTCTCCTTTTTTCTCCTCCTTATTCTCTTTCACATTTCTTCCTCCTCCTCCTCCTCCTTTTTCCTTCTCTCCTTCATATTTCTTCTCTCTCTCTCTCTCTCTCTCTCTCTCTCTCTCTCTCTCTCTCCTGCATTCGTCTCTTCCCCTCCATCGCAATACATCCCATTCTATTCTTTTCCTTTATCCTCACCGAACCATCCTTCTCTCCCTGCATCATTTCTCTTCATTGCTACTTAGATCGTCTCTCTCTCTCCTCTCTCTCTCTCTCTCTCTCTCTCTCTCTCTCTCTCTCTTTCGTCCACTCAGTATGTTTCATCTTCTGCCCGATCCTCTCACCCCCAAGCGCACGCCCACCAACCCAGGGAGGAAATGAGAGAGAGAGAGAGAGAGAGCCGTGATGGAGTAGATAATTAAGTCTGTGTATTTCTTCTAGTCGTCAGAAAAAAAAATTCTCACAGTTTACACAGACACGAGGAGTTAGTACCGTGGGCCTCCCCTCTGTTCCTCTGTTAAATTATAAGTTAAATTATCCCAAGTTAAATTGTACCGTAAATATGCCGAGTTAAATTGTACCTTAAATATGCCGAGTTAAATTGTACCTTAAATATGCCGAGTTAAATTCTTCGGACTTATACTGTAACTTAAACTACATCTACTCAGTTAAATTATTCACACCTATAAGGATGTTTCAACGACTGACTAACAGGTTAATAACGACGACATTTCACCGAGACTCAACCTTGGCTAAACGTTTTTATGAACTCTGGTTGTGGATATTTATAAACACTGACCGGCTGAGTGAACGTTGTGTACTGGACTGCGCTGGACTGTGATTCACTTTTACTTTGGGTCGTTTATGGGAAGTTCCGACACGTGTACCGACACGCAACAGGAGTTTCGACACACTCAGACACTGGAGCAATTCAGACGCGTTATGAGGCTTCCGACACGTTATGAGGCTCCCGATGCGTTATGAGGCTCCCGATGCGTTATAAGGCTTCCGACAAGTTATGAAACTTCCGACGTTACCGAAACCCGATACGTTATGAAGGCTTCCGGCTTACGTTATGGGCTTCCAGCACGTTATTGAGGCTCCTGATGCATTATGAAGAGGCTTCCGACACGTTATGAAATTTCCGCGTTATGAGGCTTCCGACACGACAGGCTTCGACATTGTAAACTTGACACGTTATGAGGCTTCCGACACGTTATGAGGCTTCCGACACGTTATGAGGCTTCCGACACGTTATGAGGCTTCCGACACGTTATGAGGCTTCCGACACGTTATGAGGCTTCCGACACGTCATGAGGCTTCCGACACGCCCTGAACTGTATGGGGGAGGTAAAGGTAAAATGAGTTGAGAGACTCTGGGGATTCCTGTGTAATAAAGGAGGCGAGATCTAGACTGTTCCGCTAACAAACACCTCCCGTCTTGCCCCACCTCACCCCGCCCTGCCCCTCCTCACCCCACCCCTACTCCACCCCACCCGAACCCGCCCCACCCACCCCTACTCCACCCGTCCCCACTCCACCCAACCCCATCCCACCCTTACTCCACCCGTCCCCGCCCCAACCCCCGGTCCTAGTTTTTAATATGGAGAGACTTGCTAGAATTGGTACGGCGGGCCAACCCATTTGCCGTAATTTCTGTGTTGGTCGGGTATAAAGCAGAAACAACTGGAGCGGCTTGGACGAAACTCATTTTAACTTTGGGAGGACAAATGTTCGAGTTTAGATTCATACTGTTCCCTCCTCCCAAAGATCAAAATTCAAGATCCACCTTCAAACTTGTAAAGTCTTCTCCTCCCCCCCCCCTCCTCCTCTTCTTCCCCTTCTTCCTCCAATGATAGGGAGGTGGAGGAGATCTTCCCTTCTTCACACATACACCACTCTAAATTCGCTCTACGTATATACACAAATACACTAACTCGGTACAAAAACACACACACACACCATCCCCAATATCAATAAAATTTAAAACAACAAAGAAATTACTTGTCTCTCTAAAAGTCAACAAGAAAAACAAAAACATACAAAAACATCAACAAAGAAAAAGTTGGTTTAAAATTATCTCCCATCAAAACTTGTCGCAGTATATCAGGGAAGATCTGGTTTATGGTTAAGTAAGACCATTTTCTGTTTTACCCCCCACACACACACTCCCGCCTGGCTTACTGGCTTACCCAACACAGTTTTGACTTTCTCCGTATTCAGCTGCTTATAAGAACTTTGTAATTGTAGCTGCGGCTTGGCTGACTTCCCTACTTCACTAAACAATAGACATTCACCCTGGTTGGCTTGGCTGGTTTCCCTACTTAACAATAAACACTATTCATAAAGATAACAAGATAACATTTCTACCCTAAAATAACACCCTGACTAATACGATGAACATTAATAACACCATGACTCTGTGGCTGCCTAAAATAACACAAAATAACAGACCTGTCAAGCCTAAGATAACACTGAGTAAACAACCAAACATAACTTCAGTCCAGCCCAAGGCATAACACACAAAGATAACATGTTATTACACATTCTTGTCAGGACTAGACTGCTCCCTCATATGACTTTAAGATAACATTGATGACGTGTTATCTGTCTCACATAACACCGTGTCACGTCTACACACACACACACACACACACACACACACACACACACTTTCACTATGACTGCCTTACAGCACAATCTCTCTCTCTCTCTCTCTCTCTCTCTCTCTCTCTCTCAACATTTGATAATTTGTCATTTTATTTCGGTAATATTTTTTATGTAACAACATTTTTTACCACAACTATTGTTTCTCGTAACATTTCAACATAGAAAAATAATAATAATTCCAACGAGTAAAAAAAATAAAAAAAATTGTGATGCCTTTACGAGTGCATAGGAGCATGAATGGGCATCGGGCGTGAGAAATAATGGGTATCAATAATAATGGGCACCAGTTGTAATGGGATCATTAGAAATAATAGATACCAATTAAAATGGCCCTATATTCAATGGGCCCCCAAATCTAATGGTCCGATTAAGGTTGGGCTATTAAGGCCAGGGCCCATTGACTCTCTCTCTCTCTCTCTCTCTCTCTCTCTCTCTCTCTCTCTCTCTCTCATTACAGGCGCCATGATGCTAATTAGTGGTACCTGTGATTACTCTCCACCTGCCGGCATCGTGTTAAAGGGACCATCGATATTCTTAATTAACAGGTGAGGTGTGTAGAGGTGCCACCACGAGGACGGGTTTATTATGGTGTGGTGGTCCTGTCCCTCTCACTCCTCAACCCACTCCAAACCCACTCATCTCTCCTGAGCTATTAACTCCCACTCACCCTCTCTCTCTCTCCTTTCATCACTCTCTCATCCCTCTCCTCTTTATTAACTCATTTTCCATTCGTATCATCCTTCCTCCAAGGGTCCCTACCATCCTTCCAGGGTCCCTGTCCTTCTTCCAAGGGTCCTACACCATCCTTCCTCCAAGGGTCTACACCATCCTTCCTCCAAGGGTCCTCACCATCCTTCCTCCAAGGTCCTACCATCCTTCCTCCAAGGGTCCTACACCATCCTTCCTCCAAGGGTCCTACACCATCCTTCTTCCAAGGGTCCTACACCATCCTTCCTCCAAGGGTCCTACACCATCCTTCCTCCAAGGGTCCTACACCATCCTTCTTCCAAGGGTCCCTACACCATCCTTCCTCCAAGGGTCCTACACCATCCTTCCTCCAAGGGTCCCTACACCATCCTTCCTCCAAGGGTCCTACCATCCTTCCTCCAAGGGTCCTACACCATCCTTCCTCCAAGGGTCCTACACCATCCTTCCTCCAAGGGTCTACACCATCTTCTCCAAGGGTCCCTACCATCCTTCCTCCAAGGGTCCTACACCATCCTTCCTCCAAGGGTCCTACACCATCCTTCTCAGGGTCCTACACCATCCTTCCTCCAAGGGTCCTACACCATCCTTCCTCCAAGGTCCTACACCATCCCTCCTCCAAGGGTCCTACACCATCCTTCTCCAAGGGTCCT